AATGAATCAGCATTGTTTACTAGTATACCGAGGTCAACAATGAGAAATCAGCATTGTTTACATTAGAGGCCAACAATGAAAAATCAGCATTGTTTACATCAGAGGTCAACAATAAGAAATCAGCATTGTTTATACCGAGGTCAACAATGAGAAAGCAGCTTTGTTTATACCGAGGTCAACAATGAGAAATCAGCATTGTTTACATTAGAGGTCAACAATGAAAAATCAGCTTGTTTACAAAAAGGTCAACAATGAGAAATCAGCATTGTTCACATTTGAGGTCAACAATGAGAAATCAGCATTGTTTACATCAGAGGTCAACAGTGAAAAATCAGAATTGTTTACATTCGAGATCAACAATGAGACATCAGCATTTTTTACATCCGAGGTCAACAATGAAAAATCAGCATTTTTCACAGTAGAGTTCATCCTACAAATGTCTGTTGTTTGCATTCATATGTAAATGAGTCATCCAATCAATCATCAATTACCAATTAAACTGTTGGTAACATAGCCTGTGCTAGTTTTAATACATATCAATCTGCCTAACTCAATTGACAATACATGCACCTAGATCATAGGAAAGTCATATATGTATTTGTAGTTAATACATGTATACTTACATGTCATTCTTGAGTAAATACAGTGCTAAAAGTTTAGAATACACAGCTGGTGTAGCCACTCCACCAGGACTCTGAAAAAATTATGAAAACATATTCAGAACATACTCATTTCCCCTGGGGTCATTTTAGATTCACTTACATATTCAGAACATGCTCATTTCCCCCTGGGGTCATTTTAGATTCACTTACATATTCAGAACATGCTCATTTCCCCTTGGGTGATTTTAGATTCACTTACATATTCAGAACATACTCATTTCCCCCTGGGGTCATTTTAGATTCACTTACATATTCAGAACATACTCATTTCCCCCAGGGGTCATTTTAGATTTACTTACATATTCAGAACATACTCATTTCCCCTGGGGTCATTTTAGATTCACTTACATATTCAGAACATGCTCATTTCCCCTTGGGTGATTTTAGATTCACTTACATATTCAGAACATACTCATTTCCCCCTGGGGTCATTTTAGATTCACTTACATATTCAGAACATACTCATTTCCCCTGGGGTCATTTTAGATTCACTTACATATTCAGAACATGCTCATTTCCCCTTGGGTGATTTTAGATTCACTTACATATTCAGAACATACTCATTTCCCCCTGGGGTCATTTTAGATTCACTTACATATTCAGAACATACTCATTTCCCCCAGGGGTCATTTTAGATTTACTTACTGTCGTATATGACTTATTTACTACTTCTGTGTCACTGAGAATGTTCTAGAACCGTACTGTGTCTGGGTGGAATATTCTAATTTTTTTTAGAGAGACTGGTTGAATAGGTAATAGAACACTGTAGGAGGCAATAGAAGGTAATGGAACATTCTAGAAATTTATACTAAATTCCAGACTCATTATGTACGCTGATGTAATGGCCTATTTATAGACAGTGTGGGTATATATAGGGGAGTTGTTAAGCACTGAGTTCAGATCGGAGATCTTGTTGAATTGTATTGGAGTTTAAGTATCTAGTTATTTGAGTAGTGGAGTTTTACCGCGTTATTGTACTTGATGTTTGCAGAGTATAATAATACCAGTACCAGTTGAAACCTCATCTGTTGGCTCCGTGTTCGTATTTTATCATCGCCGCCAGGGAAGTCTTTCTGTTACTGTTGCCATTTTGTTATTGAACCATCACACCTG